GGAAAAAGGGTGCTGTTATTTCAGCCCTCAGTTATATATACAAACCTTCTGTTGACTACTTGGACCTGCTTCTTGTGTGTTCTTTGGTGCAACCTTCAAAAAAAAAAAAAGGGCAGTTAAAATATGTTGAAGTATATTACTTGTATCAGTATACGCAAGTACCCCATGAACATACATTCTGTTGATGACTTGGACTGGCTGCATCTACATCCAATTTTTCATCCTTAAAGGACAACAAATGTAACAAGAAGAAGTACAATAATAAAGATATTAAATAAAATGAAACTGCATCTACTCTTATGTTATGCACAAAAATGTTAAAGTAATCTTTTATCAATGGATAAGTTTAATTTATAAAGTTGTCTGTTTCTGGTCTGAATGGTGCTCCTGGCAAAAAACAGTGTCAATGGACCAGATGGCATGGTGATTTTTTTAAAAGTTGTGTTTATATGAAATCAGGATTACAATGTATGTGACACAAAAGTGTGATGTGTAATACTGTAGGTAAATACTGAAGCATTCTATGGTGGATGATCATATAATATATACAATGTTAAACAATCCCAAACTAGTAAAGTGTGTTTGCTATTGACATGTTAATATGAGTTTTCATTAGCTACCATTATGTACCATGCTAATGAAAAAAGAAAGTGTAGATAAATACTGTACTACTTTACACTATCATTTGTAATCATCATCCCACACCATGTTTGAATGGAAATGCCACTTGAACTGTTTCTTACCATGCTCAAAATTGAAAAGCAATATTAATATTTAATGCTTAGGAAAAGTACAATAATACTGGAATCTGTATACATGACACACGTCATTTATTATTAGTTATGTTACTGAAAAGGGAAATTACATACCAATGCATGTGATCCACTTCTCTTAATCAACTTAAACAAAACTTGAAACTTGTCCAAGGCTTCCACTTTCTCAGTTAGGTTGGTGTCAATAAATTCATTAAAATCAGCGTTAAATTGTAAAATTCGGTGGTACTCTGCAGCACAGGGGAGGAGACATTTGGAAGCATCAATTATTTCTGCTGCACTCTTGAGATGCTGCAGTTTTTTGCATATCTCCTTTTCATCAAGTAGTACAGCCACTAGTGTTTTTGGAGTGTCCTCCATTTGAAGCTGCAAAAGGGCAAACAAAAACACCAATCTGTTATATATACATATACTGATTAAGCATAGAATTCACATTCATAATGTAAAGGAGTTAACAAGCAGTGTTCGAATGAACAATATCTATTTATTTACGAAAACATCAAGCTAGCATAAGCTACATAAACCTCCTAGATAAACCTAACGTAATATTTTGATCTCCGAAAACCAGAGAGTCTCGCTGCATTCGGTTCCCCCAGGGTGCGATTTGCCGGGGGAATCAAATGATTCGCGATACACGATCCGATTGGAGGGCTTCGAAACAGTGAATCATTTTGCGACGCAATGGTTTAAATGATTCGAAGTTTCAAAAAGTTTCGTTGTGATCTTTGCTCGTTTAGCTACTCTATATAATTTATTCGTTGTTTGAATAACCGTGGAAATGAAATCATTACAATTAACGGGCCTAACGTACAATGTTTTTATTAAATTGTGATCACGTTAAAATACAGTTTCCGTCGTATTAAAAACATTTCATAAAACTTTTAAAAATCCCCCCCCCCCTTTAACTCAACCATGTGTTATTCCTGCTAGTTTTTTACACACCAATGTGTTATTATTACACAATTTGTGTCAATTACGTACACAAAATGACACAAACTGTGTTAAAACAGTCAAATTAACACATCTTTTTTGAGATGGAGACGTAACGTTACTCGAATGTCGAAGTCAATCAAATTTTAACCGTTACCTTGATAAATCATGTTATTATTTAAGGGCATTTAACGAAACATCAATACATTCTGTTGTTTAATGAAAAAGAGGCGACAGATAGCAATGCAAGTTACCGCTTTGTCAAACTCGTTAACGAGAATCCTGCCTAACGTTAGCTGCAGCATTTTATCAGACGCCGTGTCATTTGCAACAAAACAAACAAAGAAAATCAAAACTCGTTAAAAATTAGTTCTCTCCAGAAAGTAAGGGACAAACTTACCAAAGTGTTCGAGGAGAAATAAAAATCATTTGTGAAGCACTAACGTTAACTATCAGACGCGGTTGCTGTCTTGTTCAACACCGCCTCTCGCGTCTACGGAAAATACCCGTAAGCACGAGAGGTCGCTAACTAAACGCACAATTGACCGTCTAAAAAATAACAATAATAAAATACATTTGACAATTTGTATTTGACAATTTCTAATAACAAATACATCGAAATACCTGATGTGTGGGTCCGTGTAACCCTTTGAAGTTCTTTGTTCAATTCGCACCATCAAAATGAACCAATTAAATGAAAAGTTGGCTTCAAACTTTCATTTTCAATTTCTTTGGAGCAATGTACAAACGGATAATTGTCTCTCATTTTAATTTTCAATTTTACGAGTTTGGGTTGTTGCGCCAGAATCTGATTTTTGAATAACATAAAAATTACTCATTATTCTGATTTTCCACTTCTCTGTTTTGCGCTCCCGGTTGGACCGTACCAGTGGGGGGAGCGGGGGGAGCGGGGGGAGCGGGGGTGGGGATGTGGATGTATTTACCCAGAGCGGTGTATGGCTGTATCAGTGGACCAACTCCGGGGTAAGGCTAAAAGCAGCCAAATGTATTAAACATCATAAACCCGTCTTTTTAGACAATAACAAAACATGGGTGTCATGTAGGCTAAAAAAATGTTTAATTGGATTGAATTTGTATTTAACGTGATTGCAATTTAATAAAAACGTTAGAAATTGATAATATAATGTTTCCTTTCCATGGTTATTAAAACAGCGAATAAATTATATATAGAAAGTGACATTATCACTAACATTGATCTATCGCGAGTTTAAGCACTCTCAAAAAAAACAACAACTATTGTTATAATCACTGAAGCTGTATAGCCTACACTGTGCACTGTCACCGGTAGCAAGTTTAGTTTTACTTTTCTTTTTGTTTTCATTTTGAAAAGCTTATCTTTGCTGTTTACCTCACGTTATGCTATGGAGGCTTTTTATTATTATTATTTTTTTTTTATTATTATTTTTTATTTGATTCCTCAGTGTTTGCTAAATGTTCTGTAATTTATTGGTCATTATGTGTATGCCATGCATGCCATGCCTCTTCTTATTCGTTTTTGTTAATAAACCTTTTGTAAGCTTGTTTGTCATTGTATCTTACTGTTTTATTGTTGTTGTGCTTTTTAATTAAAAATAACAATGAATCCATCTTTTGTTTTAGTC